TCTCCGTTTGTACTTCTCGCTGACTTGGCTGTCCAAGAAGTGACGGAGTCGAACGAAAAGACAGAGCAAAACGGAGTGGAATGGACGACGGGTGGGCTTTCTTCGAAATATCGATATCAACACTTTACCGACCGGCACGCGAAGAATCGGATTTCTGATCCTTCGAATACTCGAATTTCCAACTAACAATAAGCCTAGGATAGAGTTGGAGATTTGGCCAGAAGCCGCCGGTAGGTAAAGTGTCAAGCAAGCAAATCACCAAATCCAAGTCCAAGTTCTGCCGAGTAATTCCGACCGAGAAGATCTCTTGCACACGCGCGACAAACTATCCTCTGTACAAAAATCGAACTCGCGCAACGTTCACGCAACGCAGAAGTGACGAATTAAGGAGAGAACGAACGAATGGGTGGAGAGACTTGCCGAGCGAGTTGGCATACTCACCAGAGCGTGCAGAGCGTGACAACGAAGGAGAGGAGCAACGAAAGGGAGGAAGAAAAGTGGCCGAGAGTCTGAGAGTTTACGCGGGCCTGTCGAGTCCGAGTGCCTCCTGGTGTCGCCTGGCCTTTAACCTCAGGTCGGCGATGCTGCTGTTCTTGGAGCGTGCCGCGGCCGCGGCCAGCGAAGCCGCCAGGCTCAGGGGATGAGGGTGCGGATGAGCGGAGCTCGACGACGGTGGCGGCGGTGGCGGCGGCGGCGGCGGTGGCGGAAGACAAAAGAGGCCACCGGCTGCCGCGTAATGGAGGACCGCCGGGTCGAAGGCAGACGCCGCGGTGCTCATGTTGGCCGCGGCAGCGGCTGCAGCGGCCGCCTGCATCGGCGGATGCAACCTCAACGCCGGCAGGTACGGCGCCACTCGACACGGTTCCAAACTCGCCGGCGGACTTCGTGGAGCCAGCACCATCCCACCTGCCACACCTGTCAAGTTTCCGGTTAACCTTGATTCTGACTTCATTCGCAACAGCGACTATCGAAAATCTGACACTTTGCATCAATCTCTTTCTTTTTTTGGCAAAACGTTCAAAAATGACTTCCAGCCCGACGAATTCGATATTCGTGTTGTAATTTTGGAAACCTGTTATTGATGTAACTTGATTTATGACAATCGTTGACAATTGTTTTTATCTATCGGTAATTAAAGCGTGAAATCCATCCAGAGACATT